CGGCAGCCAGCGCGCGCTGCCTCCGGACCGGCCCTCCCGGTGCCGCCGGGGCCTCGGCCTGGCTTCTGCCGCACCGCACACCACGGCACGGTGGGTACGGCACAGTCAGGGCCACTGGGGAGATGCTTCCCAGTCTTCAGGAGGATACTGGGAGCTGAGCACCTGGGCGAGGGAACACATGCACACACGTGTCCACACATGGACAACATGGCTGAAGTCGTGCTGCTTTTGGAGCGTTCATTCAAGTGCAGCAGAGGCCTGGGGTGAAGCCCCCGGTGCATTTCCCTACTCCAGGAGCCTCTCACCTCTCACTGTAGGACCAGCTGCCTTCCTCCCTGGCCCCAAACCTGGGCCAGCCCCAAAGGGCGCTGCTGTTCAGGACTAAGCCTGGAATGAATAAGACAGCTCAGCCCTCCGGGCAGACCCCCATCAGCTCGTCTTCCTCCCATCACAGCAAGCATCCCTGCTTCTAGGCTTCCTGCTCCTCTTCCTCGATGGAGGGGAGAGATGAAGCCTGGGCGCTGCCCCCCGGGCCTGACTCTCCACCCGGGCCGTGGGTGGGACGCTGCCCTTCCTACTGCAAGCAAAGCTTGCGCCTGGAGCGGAGGAGGTTGGGGGCGTCCTGGCCAGTGGGCTCCGACCTGCTCCAGCAAACCAGTGGTTATTCCCTGCCCACCCCCAACACCACCTTAGGAACAGAGTCCTCCTGCCTCTCCTGCATGATAAGCAATTCTCGGCAATCCCGAGGGACCCATCAGCTGTCAGGCTGCCAGAGAAACAGGGAGAATATGTAGGCCATAAAATCAAACTAAAAAGCAGGCTTCTAATTAGTATGCAAAAATAGAAAATAAAAACGAAACAGGAGCGGCACACGGAGTGCAAAGCAAAAATAAATGGAGGGGCTGGAACAGCCCTCAGCCCCTGCAGGCAGCGAGCCAGTCGATGGACGGGGGGCACCGGACACTGCGGCCAGGTGGTGACCGGAGGAGCGGTGCTCGAGCTCCCCGATACCTTGGCCTCATCCCCAGGTCGCTCTGGGGGGTGGCACCGCACCCCCAGGACCAGCGTGTCAAAGAATCCCCCCCCCTCGCAGCAGGACCAAAGCCAATGCTCTGGATTCGCTCACCCCCACCCTGGAAACAGGCACTGGGGCAAGGCCCCGGCTGGCTCTGGTGCCCGGTCTGTGACCCCCACACCCAGGTTTCACCAGAACTCCTCGCAGGCGTGTGGCAGGAGGCACCGCTGTCGTTTAACACGAGCATCGGAAACAACGCCGGCGCTGGGACGGCAACTCCCCACGGCCACACGCCGCAACTAGCAGGGAGGCCGCCGCGCCACCATCCATATTCATGTGACACTGAGAACAGGCCGGTACGCTAGTATGCGACAGGCAAGGAGGTGCTGGGCCTGCTAGGGGAAGACAGGACTCGGCAAGGCTTGCAGGTGGCTGCGTTACCACGGCAGACACCCACAGCAGAGCTGCCTGGGTTCCTGTGGACACCGAAGACACTCCTGACTAGGAGCGGAAGAGCAGCACTCACGAGGCAGTGGGGGGACTGTGCCCAGCACCAACGCCCCCGAGCTCTCGGCTGCTCCAAGGATGCAGAGTGCACCGGAGCCTTGCGCAGAGGCTCGGTCTGTCCCGTGACAGCCATGCTGTCTCCCGGAGGGGTGGCCTGTGCATCCAGACCAGATGTGCAGGATGCCAGCGGGAAAGTGAACACTCACCCTTCAAGATGTGCCAAACGATCTTGATGGAGCTGCCTCTCATGTTCAGGATCTGATGGACTCTCTGGCGGATCTGAGTGAGGAAGGGGAGAGGAAGAAGCATGCCATGATAGGCAGCACAGCCTTTAGCCCGCTTCCCTCAGTGCAGGGCCAGGCTAGTGCAGAAAAGCTCGCCCCACAGGGCTGCAAACAAACGCTGCATGCAGGAAGCCCCTCGCCCTCCATATCCATGCTCACAAGGGGTGGGGAGGGGCATCTGCATGGTCCAAGCTGGAGCTCCAGCCAGAGCCAGCTACCAGGGAGCATCGGAGCTGGGCTGCACGTGCCTTAGACACGGAGAACATCTCCTGCCACCCCGCACACGCAGGGGCTGCATTTACCTGGGGGACGCTGGCACTGCAGATCTCTGCCATGATGTAACAGATGAGCTGGAGCACGAAGAGGCCAGCGTCTAGGCGACGGAGGTAGAACTCATCCTCCGTGTCATCGTCGATGATCTCTCCCCGACGCACCATGTCCTGAAGAACAAGGAAAAGCGAGACTGGATGCAGAGCCTCCTTACCGCTTTATCCAGCCTGTACCCAAAGCACAAATGCCTGGCTAGTTTGCAAACTAGGGGCAGAGACATTAGCTGCTCCGCACAAGCTCACAGCTTTCCCACACATGGTAGGAAATGGGACATGGTGCCTTGGCTGGTGTCTCAAGGCTCCCTCACCCGAACACCGTCCTAAACCCATGCTGTCAGGCATCATGCCTACTGCTCTTCGGGCCCCAGAGCTCCACCGCGTTGACATCACTGAGGCTGCACCAGACAAGGAAGAGGAGGTATTTGGGGTGGGTATGGTTAGTTGAATGATAATAGTCAACCCTGTTGGACAGGACTTCCCAGCGGTAACCTTCATTAAAGGTGCTTGGTGCACCCAGATGCAAAGCTCACCTACCGAGATGCAGCTTCCTCCCAGAGCCCCCCTGAGTCCCAGCCACGGGCACGGACCAGAAAACAGCCAACACCGCTACCGCCCTCTTTCTTCCCCAGGGCCAAACATCTTGGCCTCTCTGCTTCTCTCTCCTGGCCTCACCTGGCCCAGAAGCTACCTTTCTCCAGGCTCCTGCACTGCGCAGGCATTAGGTGACCCAGCCAGCAAAGCCTCTTCCTTCCCTCCCCAAACCCTGCAACATGACCTTGACTTTAAGGAGGCAGCCACCAGCATCCACTGCAAGGCCAAAAGGGAA